TGGCAATCATGAGCCTTGCAGTGTGTTATTGACAAGTCCTTCATCGACACTAGCTTCTTCACATTTGCTGAAAACCCAGTCGGGACTTTGATCCCCCTTAGAAAAGTGCATATAGCTCTCTTCTTGTCTGGTGTTAGGTTGAAGCACGCCACGGGCAGAGTGTATTTTCCATTAGCCTCAGGTACCGGGTGAAGCTGTGGCATCACGTTTAACTGCACCATGTCTTTCCGTGCTTTCAGACCATCCTTTGACTTGCCTGTGTCCATCAAGGTAGCAATGAGACTCTCAAAGACATTCTTCTGCACGTGCATAGCATCAATGGCATGGGGGACCTCCAAGTCTGGCCAATAAGGCAGATACTAAAAGAAGATCGATTATTTCTTGAAAGGTACGCCTTCGACAGGAGGTGTGCTTCTATCTCTGTTCGTCCCATCCGGATTCTTTTTTCCATAGACGACGTGTATGTTTTTCACCATTCTGTACACATGTTCTCCGTTATGACGTCTCTCCGGAGGGGGTTCAATCTCCGGGGCGTTGTCATAAAATCTAAAGAACAATTTGCTGTGGTACTTGTGACTTGTCTTTAAGAAGCGTCGGTTCCTTAGGTAAACTATCTTCTTGGATGCATCCAGGTACACCCATGTAGTACCATCCAAGCAAACCAAGCATCCCGTCTTCCCTTTGATCTATCCAGACAAAGCAAACAGAGCGGGGTAATCATTGGTAGTAACAAATATTATTGCTCTACATATGAAGTCCTCCTTTCGGAACGCATCGTACATCTGCTCCCCATGCCTCCATAGCCTCTCCATTTCTTGCATCAAGGGCTCGAGGAACACGTCTATATCAATGCCTGGTTGTTTAGGGCCAGAAATAAGAATAGTGAGGAGAAGGTACTTTCTCTTCTGACACAACTATGTTGGAATGTTGTACATGGTCAAGATCACTAGCCATGTGCTGTGGTTGCTCATCCTCTCATTGAAGGGATTCATTCCATCGGTGCTCAGGTCAAACCGTACATTCCTTGGGTCATCGCTGAATTCTTTGTGCTTCTCATCAAACCTTTGCCACTGACTATAATCAGCCGGGTGTGCAATCTTATCATCATCCACCTTGCACTCATCATCCCACCATGTCATGAGTGCGGCTTCTTTAGGGTTTAGGAACATACATCTCAAGCGGTCGGTCACTGGCAGGTACCACATTACCACGGCATAAATTCTTCTCTGCTTTGCATCGTTGCCTAATGGAGTGTCCTCTGGGGGGCTGAGATTCTTGTACCACCTTTTTTGTATCCTTCTTATTCCTCTTTTTCCCCGTGGATGGTTCGTCCCCACCGTAAAGGTCATTGTTCTTGTACCGGCTGGCCCCACACCGGGGACATTTATCCAATGACTTGAACGTTTCGCCACAAAAAAGTATTAAGTGGTTGGGGCATGCATGTATTTTTTCAACCCCCATTGTCAATGGACTTATGACCTTCTTCGCTTGGTACGTGTTGGCGGGAACTGAGTTTGGTTGTGGCAGCACCCATGACAGGAGATGCAATAGATCATTGAAACTACAGTCTGACCAGCCGTACTTAGCCTTCAGGATGAGCAGCTCAAGCACAAAACGTAGTAATGTTCAATGTGTCGGACAACCCTTTTCAACACCATACACAGTCTCCTTCGATGCTTTTATCACTCTTTCCAAATTTTCTAGACCTTTCGGGCTATTTAGTAAAATCTCTGGTTCAAGGGTTCGAATCATGTCATCTAAATCATCTTCAACTCCGACACGTGCTCCACCATCATTATTGGCACCACATTCGTCATTACCATCCCAACCACCAGCATCACCACCTTGTTCATTGCCAAACTCAAAATCCATTCGTGCATCAAGCTTTGCTGAATATTGGGACAGGGATTCTATGGTTTCGTCGTCGTATTCCTCCTCATCGTCATCGTTAACAATAACCGTTTCACCATGATGAATCCACACTGTGTAGTCCTCAACAAATCCTCGCATAATCAAATGTGATCTGATGATAGTCACATCTGTCCATGCCATATGGTTCTTGCAATCTTTACAGGGGCAAATAATTGTATCCTTATTCTCTTTCAATGTCGTTGCATGCTTTGTTGCGGCTTCAATAAATTTATCCACCTCTTCACGGAAACCTGCCTTGAACCTTAACGAACCATACATCCAAGAGTTCCTGTACTCCATCTTTTACAACAACAACAAAACAAACATTAAAGGACTACTTATTGAGATATATATAAAAATGAATCAAAGTAATAATTATTTGAGAATAATTGTATATACCTCAGATATATATGAATATAAATCTAATATAATTACATGAAGCATACAAACACACCATGGTAGAGAAAAATTAATTAATGGCCCATTTATCCATAAATAATTAAAATACATATTTATTGATTACAATAAACAATTTCAAAGACAACAATTAGCAATAATTATACTTTACCAATATCTTTCATACAAACCCTAGTCCAATTTTATCAAACATAAATTTACAAAAACGAAATTAATAAAAAAACCAAACCCTAGATCTAGATCACATGCACATGAAACATCCATAAAACTAACTAATGGTTCACTAAAATCAAGAAACATGGACCAAATAAGGGTATGATCTTGTTCCCCTCCCTAATTTACCCTAGTACATTTAAAAGTTGGGTCTAATTTGCTCATAATAGCTCAAGCACTATAGAAGAGAGAGAAAAACAAAACTCTAATTACTCACTAACCAACCATTAAAACTTTAAAAAAGTTTGTAATAGCATTTTCTTACCTTATACAACCTCTCCACCAAATGATTTGAGACCAAAACCTTCCCCCCTTAGTAGAGCAATTTTTGGGAGGTGCCCAAGGCCTCCCCACCTTTTTTTTACGGGTTGGAGTGAGTGACCCGAGGAGGAAGAAGGAGCTGCATCTGTTTTATATGGGGGCATTTGTAGGGGTGGCTGGTGATTGAGCCGCCCCTACAAATCGGTGCTATAAATACGGGGCCATTTGTAGGGGTGGCTCAATCACCAGCCGCCCTTACAAATACCATTTCTAGGGGTGGCTGGTGATTGAACCGCCCCTACAAATCAGACCCAATTTGTAGGGCGGCTCGTAACACTAGCCGCCCCTGCTGTTCCGTTTGTAGGGGCGGCTGGTGTCTGGGCACCCTAGCACGCTACTGTAGGGGCGGCTCCATCACTAGCCGCCCCTAGAAAAAAATCAAACCGTTGTTAAAAATCGTTTTCTACGTAGTGTTTATTTCTGTCGGTAAACCATCAGAGAAATGGATCTTTCAATTTTTCTATTGATATTCGCTATTTCCCTATCATTTTTTCACCGACAGGACAATTCGAGGCTCCAGCAGTGCAATAGCTTTATTGCTTTATCATAGTGTCAAATTCGCAACCATATTTTTGAGAATATTCTCAACGAAATTAAGCAGCAAGATGTGAAAAATAATTGCAACTGCTTGGCTTACACTTAGGCCGCCGGCTATGTTTATTATATAGTCGTCATGGTACATGTCCTAGTATGACTTGGTACATAGCTGAGTAGGACTCTAAATCTACTTGTAATACAATACTAGGTTTTAATCATATTATATCTCTAGGACTCTATCTCTGTTCCTAATGGTAACTATCTATAATTCCAGCACAAGAAACTTCATTAACTACAACCAAATTGGAAAATAAGCAGTACATGTATAAATATTTTGAAACAAGTAATAATGCATAGTAGTGCTTGAACGCAAAAAAGAGGGAGAGAAGCTAAACTAATGTGAGTAGTGAGTGAACTAATGCATCAGAAATAAGAAAATATACTTGCAATGAGACTGCTTGTATAGCAATTCTAAAGACATAAAAATTGATCAAAACAGAGAAGGTAACTGCAGAAGGTAGAACTTCTGAAGTAAGCCCAACATTACCTTAGCTTGGAACTGCTGACTAACATGTGTGCCCTGCTGATGGCTTGGCTTGGCATATCCACGATGCTCATGAGCTCATCTCAACTTGCGGTAGCGTGGAGGTCTTGATAGAGGAGGTTGTCAATTACATGGTAGCAGCACTGATGTGATCAAAATAGGTGAGGAACCACATTCGGAAGGGAAAATATTGAGAATACATATGCTGGTGGTGCACAGGCTTTGGCGATCATTGCTGTTTGTCCTGGGACATGAGAGCCACTCTAAATTTTGATGACCATCAGGTGGTGCAGCGGTTGCAGCAGCCAGCAGGTGAAAAGCCTTTCCAAGGTGAAGGAGAACCGTATGCAATGAGAGATTTGACGAAGCAGCTTGCCCTCCTATCAATAGTTGGATAATAAAGGCCAAAGGTAATGATCCATCACTTAATGCCCACCAGCAGTTGCAAAAGATGAGCGGACGTGGCGGCAAGTTATGTCGCTTCCGTTTAATACAGGCCTGATGACGTGGTGGCAAGTTTAAAAAATAGAAAGCCAGTTTGGAGATGCTGTTGCGGGACTAGCTTCTTGATCTAGAAGGCTAAATTATTTTAGAGAGCCAATTGAGCTATCCAAATTTACCTAGGCGGCTAGGCTCTTAAAGTTGCTCTTATAATTTGAAATTTACCTAGGCGGCTAGGCTGTTGAGGAAGTGGTGCATAGTAATCAAGAACCGTATTCTTCTCCTGGAATATTTCCTGTTGTCATCTTGCTAAGCTCCCAAGCTGAGCAGCATCGAATCCCAGGCGGCTGTACGACGCATTCCATGTCCATATCCAGTCTTGCCGTCCTCGCAAACATTTGCCAACACCCTCACGGTTCCGTTCCAAGTGCTCACTTCTGCTTCTGCCAAACAAAGTCGCCGGCCTTGTACGGCTTAATCAATTTGCAGACACGAACGGTGATCGAAAAGCCTGCCGTCTCTAACAATGAGTGAATACACGCACGTTAATCTTGTCTTGTATTAAAGGACGCCATGGATGCACATGCAAACTACATTAGAGCAAGAGCCGGCAGCAATGGAAAGCTTCTACTTCAAGCTGTCCTTGCTCGGCATTCTTATTCCCTGTGTTCTCCTTGCTACTTCAATGGTTGCCGAGACGACCGGCGATGACGAGCTTCGCACGTTCATCGTCCGCGTACAGCCGCCGGAGAAGCATGTGTTCGCCATACCAGACGACCGGACGGCGTGGTACAGGTCGTTCCTCCCTGAGGACGGCCGGCTTCTCCACGCCTACCACCACGCCGCCAGCGGCTTTGCCGCCCGGCTGACGCAGCGGGAGCTCGACGTGCCGTCCGTCACGCCAGGCTTCCTCGCGGCGCAGCCGAACGTGGCTTATGAGCTGCTGACGACGCACACGCCTCGGTTCCTCGGACTGGACGTGCCACAGGAGGGCGTGAGCACCATAAACCACAGTGCTTCTGGGTTTGGGGACGGCGTCATCATCGGCGTGCTCGACACCGGTATCTTTCCCTACCACCCATATCGTACAGCGGCGACGGCATGCCGCCGCCGCCGGAAAAGTGGAAGGGGCGCTGCGACTTCAACGGCTCGGCGTGCAACAACAAGCTCATAGGCTTGCGGTCTTTCGCGTCCGACCCCTCACCGCTCGACATGGACGGCCACGGCACGCACACGTCGAGCACCGCGGCGGGGGCGGTCGTGCATGGAGCCCAGGTGCTCGGACAGGCCCGCGGCACCGCTTCAGGGATAGCGCCACGCGCTCACGTCGCCATGTACAAGCCGTGCGGCGACGAGTGCACCAGTGCCGCGATGCTCGCCTGCATCGACGCGGCCGTGGGCGACGGCTGTGACGTTCTCTCCATATCTCTCCGCGATACCTCGTCGGGGTCGGACACACCGTTCTACCAAGACAGCCTCGCGATTGGCACGTATGGCGCCGTAGATAAGGGTATCTTCGTCAGCATCTCAGCCGGCAACAGCGGCCCAAATGCCAGCACCCTGTTCAACGACGCGCCGTGGATGCTCACCGTCGCGGCGAGCACCATGGACCGTTTGATCGGTTCCCAGGTGCGTCTCGGTAACGGCCTCTCGTTTGACGGGGAGTCGTTGTACCAGCCAGAAATCTCGGCGGCCGTCTTCTACCCGCTGGTCTACGCGGGAGCCAGCTCCACAGCCGACGCGCGGTTCTGCGGCAACGGTTCGCTGGACGGCTTCGACGTCAAGGGCAAGATCGTGCTCTGTGACCGTGGCAATGACGTCGGGAGGGTTGACAAAGGTGCCGAGGTGAAACGAGCAGGAGGCATCGGCATGATCATGGCCAACGAGTTCTCCAACGGTTACAGCACACTCCCTGACGTCCACGTCCTCCCGGCTTCGCATGTCAACTACCCCGCCGGAGCCGCCAACAAGAAGTACATCAACTCCACGGCGAACCCGATAGCGCAGATCTTCTTTCGGGGCACGGTTCTCGGCGCGTCGCCGGCCCCGGCCATCACTTCCTTCTCCTCGCGCGGGCCGAGCCAGCGCAATCCCGGCATCTTGAAACCCGACATCACGGGGCCCGGCGTGACCGTACTCGCGGCTTGGCCAACCCAGGTCGTCGGCCCTCCATCCTCGTCGGTGAATTCCGGACCGACCTTCAACTTTGATTCTGGCACGTCCATGTCGGCACCGCACCTAGCCGGCGTCGCGGCACTGATCAAGAGCAAGCACCCGGGCTGGTCACCGGCGGCCATCAGGTCCGCTATTGTGACAACCGCCGACCCCATCGACCGCTCTGGAAACCCGATACTGGACGAGCAACATATGCCGGCCGACTTCTTCGCGACGAGCGCCGGCCACGTCAATCCAGTCAAGGCCGTCGACCCCGGCCTGGTCTACGACATCGCCCCCGACGACTACGTGCGCCTTCTCTGCAGCGTCTACGCGAGCCGGGACGTGTCCGTCATCGCGCGGCGCGCTGTGGACTGCTCGGCCATCAGGGTGATCCCAGAGCACGCGCTGAACTACCCCTCCATCTCGGTCGTGTTCCCACAGGCGTGGAACTCCACGGCCAATCCTGTGGCTGTGGTGCACCGGACGGTGAGGAACGTCGGCGAGGCGCCGACTGTGTACTACCCCTATGTAGACCTGCCGTCAAGCATGGTGAACGTTGAGCCGAGGTCGCTGCAGTTCACGGAGGCGAACCAGGAGCAGAGCTTCACGGTGTCCGTGCGGCGAGGGCGGAGTGGTAACGCGAAGGTGGTTCAGGGCGCGCTCCGGTGGGCGTCCGACAAGCACACCGTGACAAGCCCTATCTCCATCACATTTGAATGATCAGTAGAGTCGCAATTGAGTTGTATGTTCTTGGCTGCTCCTGACACTTCCACTCAATCCAAAGGTTGTTCGTTCTTCGTGCAAATTTTAGGAAGTGGCTAGGCGCCAACCATGTGTTTTGGCTACTCCTGGCACTCGTTGCATTTACAATGTCTTTTTACTATATTAGTGGATATGCACATGCAACACGCATGTGAATAAAAAAGAAAAGTCAATAGCCAATCGTTAAGATTCCTGCTAAAGAAGGAATAACAATAAATTTTCAAGGATATTTGTACAATGCATGATGATACAATTACATATACAGCCTCAATTTACCATGATATGATTCCTTTTATTATTGATTAATACCAATTAAAAATGATTTAAGTAAAGTCACAAGGATTCTAAATAGAGGATTATTAAATTACAAATCAGGGTTTACAAGTTTTGAACAGACATAATGTTTTTACAATAACAATTGCGATGTGCCAACATCTACCTATCCACTGATTTCACCTTGTTGGAGTTGGTAAAACATAATTCAATCAATTCACTCGAAGTCACCTGAAGCTTATTCAGACATACCACACCTGCAAAAAAGATGAGCTTTTCCTGTCAAAAAGCTTTTTGGTCACCAAATTGAATGCTGCAGTGATCAAATCAAACTATGATGCACAAAATTGAATTACACATCCACCAAATCAAATAATAGATGCATCATATTGAAGAAGCAAGGATCAAACTACATATTCCTGCACATGTCCACCGTGGAATACTCATTTAACAAAAAAAGGAGTTGTCTCTAAATGTCATTAGGGAACACATAGCATTACCATTGAGTTGTGCCCTGGGTGTGATGGGTGCTTTAAAACAAAGATGCAGCTCAATTAATAGATATTAAAGATTAATACTATTTTTTAGAACTTCACAATGATATGATCAAATGAGGTGTCCTGCGAGTGAGAAATGAAATTGCTCATACCTAGGTTGAAGCCCAAAATATCTGCTAGCCATCATAGTGAATTCTAGAGTGGTTCTCTTGTAAAACTAAAATATCTGCATGGAACCTCTACATTTGGACAGAAGGCAAATGAATTTACATGTAAATCATTAGTAATAATCAGTAAAAATAATCAGCTTATGGTCAATGTTGTTTTCCAACAAGTAGGCATGCAGAACCACCAGAATATATATAATGATGATTATTCCAACCAGGGGCGGAGCTACAGGGTGGTCCCTGTGGGCCGTGGACCACCCTGCGCTCGGCCCAACCAAAGCCCATAGGTAGAGTTAGGACTCGCTCAGTCGCTCAGGATCTTCTGGCTGCCGCCGTCAGTTCGTCTCCAATCGTATTCTTTGCTTTCCTTCTTTCGCGTGGTGTGCGGTGCAATCGTGGGGTACTGGGATCGGTGGATGACCGCGATGCAACTGCTACCTGCGGCGAGCACCAGTCAGCCATCGCCCATCGGACTCTGACATCGGCATCTCCACGACGGCAAACGCAAAGCAGCAGCCCATTAGGTACTCTGAATCCTAGCGACTCCAAGACTGAACTGCTGAGCCAACGTTAAATCCTGCTGGCTGCTGAGCCAACGTCTATGATCTATGGCTATTCTCCTTTAGTCACAAGTACATACGTTTCTTCTTTTCCTTTCAGTTTCTTCAATTTCAATATATGATCCGTTCGGTGATCTGCGATCTGCAGACAGTCAGACAGGAAAAGTGCACAACCTTAGGGTATGCAAAACTGATTATTTTTGGTGCAAGTGCAACACTGAATTATTTTATTTCAATATATGATTTTTTGCAGTATTGGATATATATTGAAACATTATATAATTCTCTTGGAGAATTGTTGAAACAAAGAGCGATAAAGTTTATCATTGGTTCTATTTACTTATCAAATTGGTATAGCATTAAAAAAATTTAGACAATGGACAACCATAGCTACAAATCCTGGCTACGCCACTGATTCCAGCCCACCCCTACAGGCCACTAAGATGCAATTTAAACAACAAACACCACAGTTGTCGCAATTGTTGTCTACAGCCTATGGCAAACATATGTAGGTGCTATAAGATTCAACAGTTTAACCTTGAGCGTAGAATCAATCCCATTCCCATCCCTCTGTGTGATGAGACCGCAACCTAATCTATTCCCATGATATTTATCTCAAGGGGAACATGAAAATATATAATAACTTACCACACATGCTATTTCTGTCCAACATTAATTTTCCGGCTGCAGCAAGAAATCAACATCATTATTTCTTACCTTATTCAAACAAAGGGAATTGCACCTATATATTATAGCCACTTGTCCAGGTGATAGTTATATCTAAAACAAATAATTATTCAGCCACATTATTAGATTGGTGAGTACAATTATATTGTAGATTTTACAATGTAGTATGTCTTTTATTATTGAAGTTGAGTTGAAAGCAGGATACTACATACCCTTTTTTTTTAAGATGGAGCACATGAGGGAATGTATCTTCGGAGTTATAGTGGAAGGTATAGAAATCCAGAAGATGCTTATTTCACTTACCTTCAATAGGCCTCCTCTTTGGAGAAAATTTTCCTCACAAATCATCAGATATCCACTTCCAATCTTGTTATATAGCTGTAATAATTTTGAAGGTTGCAAATTGGTACTGCAGTGAAGGTATAACCTAGTATTAGTAATTGTGCGCTTGACCTATCGTAATAGCCTTGATCAATAGAAATTAAGCACCGGAAATGCTAGCAATAAGAAAAAAATCATCAAATTTAAAACCTGCATATTGATATTGCAATAATATTACCTGTAAAGTGATTGGAAGTAAAAGGATAAGAACCTGCTGTCTGTTGAACTTTTCCTTTGCCTCATTTGGCACCTATTAACAACACAGTAATCATCCAGCCTATCAACAAATACTTAAACAAATTGGAACAACGGTCACAGAATGAAAAGGGTGAGCAGAAAATACTCTATATGGGCCAAATTTAATTCTGCCTCTAGCATAGGGAAAAACAAACCCTGCAATAACTCCATTTTCATTTAATGTAAGGAACAGTCCATGTAATATTCTTTCTAACGGATACTCTGTTTACACCATATCTCATACTACACCTTTCCTATATATGAATTCTTGGTACAAAATCCATAAATTCATCAGGCCTTTGGACAACCCTCATCCCCTTTCCCGCCTTTCATATGAGCTATCTCCATCAACATAAACCTATGTAAACAAAATATTTTAATGCCTGAAACCCAGGCCACATGTACAGAGAAACAAATATAAGAGGTCCAAAGCCCAAACTCCACACTGCAATTTTACGTTGCATATGAGAGTGTGAAAGAGTCCTAAATAACTGGGAAAAGCATAACAGCCCCTGGCTCATTCATGACCTTTCTCTTTGTGCTTATGCCAGCTATATGCCTTATGCAACAAGGATATGTGCCAAGGAATTCTATAAACCATTTAGAGCTTCTCCCACTGTGCTTGATTAGAGACCGACTACATGAACAACAGGCTGTATAATAATAATCAAACTGAAGTTGCTACACAACATTGACTTGTTAGTTGCTCATCAGACTGCAAGAAGAAATCATTTTTTCAGTATGGAAACACTCTCACTCTGATAATAAAAATGGAACGTATCAAGCAAAAAAAAAAAACAAATTATGATGGATTGCGATGATCAGTCCGAACCTGCTCCTTGTTGAAGGCTAGTCAGCAGTCTGCACCCTTGTTGGCTTGAGTCAGGGGGACAGTAAAAGGAAATCATTCCTGCTAGCCATTGCTGAGTCACGTTTGGACATGAATCCATGATTGATGCTTTGCATAAATCTCAAGCACCAATCTGGCACGAGGATGCCATGCTACCTTCACCAGATGCATCCGCGGAGAAGAGTTGGGCGGACACCGGCGAGGACATGACCAAACGAGAGGAGGAGGGATCCCGGATCGGGATTGCCGGAGGAGCGGGAACGGATGGCCGGCACGGATTGGGAGGGGGCGACGCAAGCAAGGAAAGAGTGGCGGGTAGGGTGAGGAGCGGGAACACGCGAAAATAATCTCGTGCGGTTGCCGGCTGCGGGTACTACTGCGGCGGCATTTCGAGATGGGGAAGTAAGCATGGAAACTGCCGTGGGTACACGCGGCTGGGTAAGGAACCGCTCGGTGAAAAAAGAAATACGACGGGAGCGCGCCGCAAGAGACAAACATGCTGTCAATGTAAATAGTTTCCGACTAGTTTTCGACGTCAGATCATGGTGGAAGATTTAGACACGTTGGATCGGAGTTTAAAATCGATCTAACGGATAAGAATTAAGGCGGATATGAAATATTTGGGTGAGATGATATTTTCAATTCTTTCGCTCCTTTATAGTATAAATAGATTTACAATGTCTTATTACTATATTTACAATGATTTCTTTAATATAATTTATTGGACAGAGTGATGTAATTTAGAGATAACACAACTTTTATCTCTATATATGGATCGTGGGTCTCAGAAATATATGCCAAATTATTCAGAAAAATTATAAATTATTTGTATGGGTTGCAGATATGAGAGAAATATATGCCAAATTATTCACAAATGCCATAGACAAAACATACCAAAACAAAGATCGAAAATCCATTATCTTCTCTTCAACCTCCGGTTTAGGCGTCCTCTTCCCGATGCGGAACATCCCACAGGGTAAGCGGAGTTCTGGGCAGCCGCGGGTGAGAGCGGAGATGTCGGCGTCGGTGACACCACGCGCCAGGTGGCTCCTGCGGACGACCGCCGCCGTGAGGTGCGCGTCCGTGGCCTCCTTGCCATCGAGGGTCCTCTCGCGGATGTCGCCATAGTGGTCCGTCAGATCGGCCTCATCATCCTCATTATCCTCCTCCTCTTCAAGGTATTCAAATGCAATCTTCTCAAGAGACGAGTCTCCAATCTATGGAGATAACAGAAAGGCCAAATGCACCAGGGTGACAAGATCATCAAAATAAAGTGGAATAAGAGTATTGTGATCAAGGTATAGCA